TGAGATGCTGGTGTCCCAAGCCCAGCTTAACCTGCCACGCCACAGTGCTGGCCCCAGTCAGCTTTACACAGTCTCACACATATGTGCTGTGTATGATTGAGTGTTAATCTGATTTTCACACACTACGTTGCACTAATCACACATCAGGGGATTATGATAATGAGGGTCTGGAAGGCAATATGGAATTAGAAGTCTTCAAGCATGCAGGGTACACAATGAAGATCTGAGTCAAGAGGAGTGAGCTTCTCAGGTCTGTAGCTCACCCTCCAGGGAAGCAGAACCAGCAGACAGCAAGCGCAGCGCCCCATCTCTAACAAGGTGACCCTTCCGCGTTGGAGTGTTCCTTTCAGTCCACACCTCCTACAAGTGCTTTTCGTCGTGTGGAGCTCTCACAAAAACATCTGTGTGTCAGTGACTCCCGGGGCTATTTCTCTTCCAGACCCTTTCTTCTGATCTTTAAATTTGTGTATCCATCTGTCTACTTGATTTTTACATTTGGCCGCCTAATAGGTATTTCAGTCTTCACATGTCCAAAAATAAACTGCTGATCTTTGTCCCCAAGTGTGTTCCACCCAGAGTCTTTCTTTCTTTCAGTTGATGGCAATTCCACCTCCCAGTTGCTCAGCCAAAACCCATCCAGTCCATCTTTGACTCTTCTCTTTCTTTGCACATCCCACAGCCAACCCACTGGGAAATCCTTTTGGCTCCGCTAACAGCACTTGCATATCCAGACCACTTTTCATCACCTGTACCCCTGCCAGTCAGCTCCAAGCCCCATCATCCTTCCCTGTGGATCCGGGCAGCAGCCTGCTCTGTGTGTCACTGCGTTCATCCTTGCCTTCTGCTGTAGTTTGAATGTGCTCTGGCCCTCAAACCCTGCAGACATTGAAGTGGCTAAGAGGCGGACCTAGTGGGACATCCTCAAGTCGCTGGGGGCGTGCCCACAGAAAGTAGTTCTCGTAAGATGGTTATAAAAGACGGTGTCGGGCCCAGCTGCTCGCTGTGCCTCCTGGCACACTGCCGTCCGCCACCCTCACTGGGTGCCAAGCCAGTGGGGCCACCCAGTCTTGGACCTGAAAATCCCAGACTGAGTGGAATAAACCCTTCTCCTTATAAAGCTAGGTGCCTCGGCTGGAACCGTGGCTCACTAGGCTAATCCTCCGCCTTGTGGCGCCGGCACACCAGGTTCTAGTCCTGGTCGGGGCGCTGGATTCTGTCCCGGTTGCCCCTCTTCCAGGCCAGCTCTCTGCTGTGGCCAGGAAGGCAGTGGAGAATGGCCCAGGTGCTTGGGCCCTGCACCCCATGGGAGACCAGGAGAAGCACCTGGCTCCTGCCTTCGGATCAGTGTGGTGCGCCGGCCGCAGCACGCCTGCCGCAGCGGCCATTGGAGGGTGAACCAACGGCAAAGGAAGACCTTTCTCTCTGTCTCTCTCTCTCTCATTGTCCACTCTGCCTGTCAAAAAAAAAAAAATTTTTAAAAAAAAAAAAGCTAGGTGCTTCAACATTTCTATGCAAAGCTAAGTAATAAGCGCCTGCCTTCAATGTGGGCACAGTAGGTGGAGAGTCTTCCAGATCATGTCACACCCCCTGTTCTCAACCCAGCATTTCACAATCCTCTCGTTCATCCAGAGGAAAAGCAAACTTCTTTTTTTAAAGGTTTGTTTATTTGAGAGGCAGAGTTACACAGAGAAGGAAAACAAAGAGAAAGGTCTTCTGTCAGCTGGTTCATTCCCCAGATGGCCGCAACAGCTGGAGCTGGGCCATGCCAAAGCCAGGAGCCAGGAGCTTCTTCTGGGTCTCCTACATGGATGTAGAGACCCAAGGACTTGGGCTATCTCCTACTGCTTTCCCAGGCCACAGCAGAGAGCTGGACTGGACGCCGGGATATGAACAGGTGCCCATATGGGATGCTGGCCCTGCAGGGGGAGGCTCGGCACGAGCCCCAAAACCAAGCTTAATCCCACAATTTCATAACCTGGCTCCCCACTGCCCTCCAACCTGGCCGTCTCTTTCACCCTACTCCAGCCAACCTGGCCTCTCTGCTCCTCCCAGAACAGTCCATTCACAACCATCCACAGCACCTCCAAGCTGGCTGCCTCTTCCACGCTGTCCCCTCGCTGACTCCCTCACTTGCTTCCAGGCTTTCTGGTTTCTAGTGTCGTCTTCTCAGCGAGTCCTCGTCACTTGTCATCCTCCTTCCCTCAGTCCCGGCTTCCTGATCTTCCCGGCTTACCTTGCCATGCCCATGTAGAATTGACTTATCTTCTCTCCGGCTGTCTGTTGTGAGGGTTCTACATAAGCTCGTGCGAAAATGAGGTTTGAAAGCCACACACAGTTTTTTCTAAGGAGTATTTTTCCATGAGCTTTTGGAAGTTCCCCCATAAGCATGGGTTTCAGATATATATTTTTTTTGCATCAAAATAAACTTGCAGTGCCATTTCCCACCTTTGTGCATTTAAAATTTCACCTGCTTCCCTGGTTAGAACATAAGCCCTCTGAGAAGGCGGAAAGGGTTGTTCTCTTCACCAGGGTGTTACAGGCCTGAGTGCTCATGAACTTTTTTTTTTTTTAAGATTTATTTATTGATTTTAAAGGCAGAGTTACAGAGAGGCAGAGGCAGAGAGAGAGAGAGAGAGAGATCTCCCATCTGCTAGTTCACTCCCCAGAAAACTGCAACAGCCGGAGCTGCACTGATCCGAAGTCAGGAACCAGGAGCTGCTTCTGGGTCTCCCATGCAGGTGCCCCAGCCCAAGGTCTGGGCGCATCTTCTACTGCTTTCCCAGGCGCATTAGCAGGGAGCTGGATCGGAAGTGGCGCAGCTGGGACTTGAACCGGCGCTCACATGGGATGCCAGCATTGCAGACAGTGGCTTTGCCTGCTATTCCACAGTGCTGGCCCCATCTCATTGCTTTAAAAGCCTTAAGACCATTGTCACCACTTGATGTGGGAATGTGGTATGCACACTCCAGGAAGGAAGGAATTTATCTCTATGAGACAAGCTACCCACAGGGTAATGAACTCATGATGTTTTAGACAAAATGACCTCAGGAAAAGAATGTCATGGGGTAAACAGTACCAAATGATAATTAAGATTAAGAACAGAGTGTCTGGGGGGCTGGGGCGCACTAGGTAATCCTCTGCCTGAGGCGCTGTCATCCCATATGGACGCCAGTTCTAGTCCCGGTTGCTCCTCTTCCAGTCCAGCTCTCTGCTGTGGCCTGGGAGGGCAGTGGAGGATGGCCCAAGTGCGTGGGCCCTGCACCTGCATGGGAGACCAGGAGGAAGCACCTGGCTCCTGGCTTCAGATTGGCGTGGCTCCGGCTGTTGTGGCCATTAGGGGAGTGAGTGAAACAATGGAAGGAAGACCTCTCGCTCGCTCGCTCGCTCTCTCTATAATTCTGTCCAAAAAACAAACAAACAAACAAAAAAAAAAAAACAAAAAACAGAGTGTCTGGTTAGATTGCCTTGGACAAGTCCTAACTTCACCATAGACTAGTAGTTTAATCTTAGACAACTTTTTGCCATTTGAGGTTCAATTTCTCACCCATAAAATACAGATAAGCCAATCCACATTACACTACTAGATTCTTTGGCCATTAGACATGCTTTGGCGGGAAATTTTGAAAAGCTCATTAAGGAGGCCGGTGCCACGGCTTACTAGGCTGTGGCGCCAGCAATCCCGGGTTCTAGTCCCAGTTGGGGCACCGGTTCTGTCCCGGTTTCTCCTCTTCCAGTCTAGCTCTCTTCTGTGGCCCAGGAGTGCAGTGGAGGATGGCCCAAGTGCTTGGGCCCTGCACCCTCATGGGAGACCAGGAGGAAGCACCTGGCTCCTGACTTCGGAATGGCACAGAGAGCCATAGAGGCCACTTAGGGGATGAACCAACAGAAAAAGGAAGACCTTTCTCTCTCTCTCTCACTAACTCTGCCTGTCAAAAAAAAAAAAAAAAAGAAAGACAAAGCTCATTAAGGAAAATGAAAACTGATATAATCAAACTAAATCATGATATGTATTTCTAGTCAATTTGGCCCCCAAGTTAGCTGTTGAAATAAAAGCAGAAAATACCAATTGGTGGTTTTAAGGTTTCCGACCATGGGGAGAGGTCCTGCAACTCTTTGGCAACAAGTGCTTGCATTCTCAGGTAAAGTGCCACAGTATCATCCCATTGCTGACTTATTTGACTTTTACAGTTATCAGGTAAATATGTGATGTCTGTTCTCTATAAAACATACAAAATTACAAATGAATTCCTCCTGGTATTTATGTGTCGGGTCTCTAACGATATGAACGCACTCATTGATGAACGTGAGCAAAGTTCCACTTCTTGGGGGTGGGTTCTGCCACCACTTCAGGGTCACCTTCGTGGCAGTCAGATGCAGTGCTGGGTGGCTTTCTGAACCAAAGCCAGTTTCTTGGAAGGGAACCACGTAAAGGTTTTGAGCGTGGCCAACTTTTGCCCATTGTTCTGGTCAATCAGGGTTCCATTGGTTGGCATCCAGGTATTTGTAAGTGGAGAATTTGGAGATTCTTTGAGTCCATTTCCTAAGCTTACACCAAAGCATTAGTTCTCTTTGTACTAGGGACAGTCCAAGTTCCTGTGTTCTGGGTGAACAGATCTGGCTACCTGATTGCCGAGTTTTGTTTTGTTTTGTTTTGTTTTTTTCCTCTTTCTTTGTCATTATCTCCGTGTTCCTGTTGTCTGATGGCTTAGTGTCTACAAGGCTCACCAAAGTGAAAAATCAAGGGACTGAGTATTAGTTTTCTTATTACTTACATCTTCGGTCTGTTCACATAAGCACCACCCTTCCACCTTCCTCATGAGTGATCAAGGCAAAATGAAATGAGAAAAACAAGCAGCATTCAAACATAAGGCACTCTTTACGATGGAAAGAAGATCCGGATAGACTGATTTTGCACCGTTCTGAAGAAGTTAGAGATCTCAGCAGTCTCATCCTGCCTCATTCCCTTCCTTTCCTTTCATTTTCTTTCCTCTCCTCTCAAGGGAGCTACCATCAAGAAGGATGAGCAGAGCGGCGCCATCGTGGTGGCCAGGATCATGCGGGGCGGAGCTGCGGATCGCAGTGGTGAGCAGTCAGCGTGCCGAGTGGGTGCTCCGTGCGTGGGTGCGCGTCTGGTAGAAATACGGCCGACCCGGCACTGAGATCCTGCGGTCTCTGTTGCAGTGTGGGAATGTAGCCATGTGAGTGGTGGGAAAGGCTCAATCCCTGCCTTCCCAGGTTGCGTTCACGCTGGTCTCCGTGTCGCTGCTGTGCAAGGCGCCCCCGAGGGCCCGCAGCTTCTCAGCTCGCTGAGCGTCTGCTAAGACGCGGTGACCGGCCTTCCTAGACGGAGGCCCGGGCACTGGAGCCGTTGCTTGGCCAGCGTCGTGACGGTGTTGTCATCTTGCATTCATGGTGACGAGCATGGAATCAGAAGCCTGAAAAGTGTCGGCGCCTCCTTTCCAATCCTCATTAAGGGCCTTGCTTTCATGAGGGAAACCATTGCAAGTGACAGCTTCCAATTTCCCCGAATTGTCCACCCTGCAGGGCTCATTCACGTGGGCGACGAGCTCCGGGAAGTCAACGGGATCCCCGTTGAGGACAAAAGGCCCGAGGAAGTCATACAGATTTTGGTAAGGCGCAGGTTTGTTTTGAAGCTGCAATAAAAAGAAAATCGAAGTGCGTTGTTTCAGATGTTTCAGATCTGCTTTTGAAAAGCTGAATATCAAATATATTTGTTCCAGGCATAGAAGGCATGCAGGAAGAATGAAACTTTTTGTAATGTGTTGACGTCAGAGATACTTCATGGGTTTCCTCTGTTTCCCTGTGTTTTCTGTCTTCCCTAAGTGCAGTAGGGGGTAGTTACTACTCTGGTCGATGAATTGTCCCACCGCGGTGAACGTAATATCTTTATGTCTCACTGCGTTACCACCAGCACTGTTTCACCGCAAAATCCGCACTCCACAGAAGTCAGACGAGCCCGCAGAAACTGGAGCAAGCATCAGTCAGGTTCACGTGAACGGATGCTGCAGGCTCTGGGATTTTAAGGACTGATATAGTGATGGCTAAGTATCTGCTTGCATCTTTAAAAGTGCAGGGGCCGGTGCTGTGGTGTAGTGGGTAAAGCCACCGCCTGCAGTGCCGGCATCCCATATGGGCACTGGCACTGGTTTGAGTTCCGGCTGCTCCACTTCTGATCCAGCTCTCTGCTATGGCCTGGGAAAGAAGTAGAAGATAGTCCAAGTGCTTGGGCCCTGCACCCGCGTGGGAGACCTGGAAAAAGCTCCTGGCTCCTGACTTCAGATTGGTGCAGCTCCAGCCGTTGTGGCCAATTGGGGAGTGAACCAGCAGATGGAAGACCTGTCTCTCTCTCTGCCCTCCTTCTCTCCCCATGTAGCTCTGACTTTCAAATAAATAAATAAATCTTTCTTTAAAAAAAAAAAAAACTACACTAGAAACCTTAAAGCAATAAAAGAGACTTGAACTTGTCAAGACAGACATCTGTATATATGGATGTTTAGTATATTCTTAAAATGGCCTTTAATTTTTAAAAATAATCTTATTTATCTAATTTATCTTCACTTTATTTGAAAAGCAGAGCGAGAGACAGAGAGAGAGATCTTCCCTCTGCTGGTCCACTACCTAAATGCCTGCAACGGCTGGGGCTAGCCCAGGCCAAAGCCAGGAGCCAGGAGCTCAACCCGAGTCTCCCAGCAGGGGCCCAAACCCTTGAGTTGTCATCCTCTGCCTCCGAAGGTGTGCATTAGTGGGAAGTTTGATCAAAACTGGAGCTGGGACTGGAACTGGACCCTCTAGTACAGGATGTAGGTTTCCCAAATGGCATGTTTGCACCAAACACCAAATACTCCATCCCTATTTATTTATTCTTAAACTCATTGGTTTGGGAGATGGCGAGAGAAAGAGAGCACATCCACGGGTGAGTGCCTCCCACCTGCTGGCTCATCCCCAGATGCCTGCAGTGGCCTGAGCTGCTACCTGTGGCTGACCCCAGGAGCCGGGAACCCAACCTCACCTCCCATGCGGGTGGCAGGCACTCATCCACTTGAGCCAGCACCTGCTGCCTCCCAGGGTGTGCATTAGCAGGGAGCTGGGACTGGGAACTGGAGCCAGGGCACAATCCAGCACTCCAGTATGGGACATGGGCACATTATCTGGCATCGTAACCACTAGCCCATACATCCCTAAGAAGGTGTTTTAGGTCAGCGGGAAGATGATAGGACTGTTTCATTAGTGGAATTAGATTAATTGATAACTCTGTTAGAAAAAAATAAAGGTGATCGCTATTTTACACCACTCAAAAACAAATCCCCAAAAACTAAGTGTGTAAGTGAAAAACATAACAAATTCCACAATTAAATGTAGCATACAATTTTTTATAATTCTAGGGTAGAGAAAGAGTTTTTAACCTTGGTTGCAATAGGAAAATAGCAGTTGTGTCTGCCAGAATTTAAAGCTGTCTATACAGAAAAAAAAGAATTCCACAAATAAACTTGAAAGAGAAGTAAGGTAATAGGAAAAATAGTATTGACTTATATGTATATAGAGATAATAAAAATCAATAAGGAAAACATTTACAAGAAAATCAGTTACAGATATGCACAGTTTACAAAAGAAAACTTGGTGGGTGATGAACATTGTTCTTGGGATTTAAATGCCTGGAGTTTGCCCGAGTATAGGGAGATAGACATGTTTATTTGCTTTGGATGATGGGATAAATTAATAAAATGTTTTAAGATGGCCATCTGAAACTCAAAATTTTAAATATATGTATTCTTTCATGAAGAAATTCAATCCTTGGGGATTAATCCTAAGGAAATAAATTGACAAAATATCTTTTTTAAAGACTTTTTTTTTATTTGAAAGGCACAGTTACAGAGAAGGGGGGGGTAGGAGGGGGAGACATTGAAGTAGCACCTTTTTTTTTTTTTTTTTTTTGACAGGTAGAGTTATAGAGTTATAGACAGTGAGAGAGAGACAGAGAGAAAGGTCTTCCTTCCATTGGTTCACTCCCGTAATGGCCGCTACTGCCAGTGCTGCGCCAGTCCGAAGCCAAGAGCCAGGTGCTTTCTCCTGGTCTCCCATGCGGGTGCAGGGACTCAAGCACTTGGGCCATCCTCCGCTGCCCTCCCGGGCCACAGCAGAGAGCTGGACTGGAAGAGGAGCAGCCAGGACTAGAACCCGGGGTGCCGGTGCCGCAGGTGGAGGATTAGCCAAGTGAGCCATGGCGCCAGCCTGAAGTAGCACCTTGACAGTAGGGACTCCATTTTGGAGCACCTGAGACTCCATCTTGAGAAAGCAGCCCCCCCCCCACCACCACCACCATGAGACTCTGGTCTTGAACTGTGACCTAAAACCCTCAGACAATAGCAGCCCCCTACATCACACTTGGCAAAGCATAGAAATCCCCTAGCATGATCGCTTGAGCTTGGAAGCAGATAGACTGCACCTGGGTTAATGATAAGATTGTAATTTGTCTATGTCCCACATATAATTTAGGCCAGTACCTGGATTAATGTCATAATGTTATAACTGAACTTGTTAAGATTCTAGCTGGTATTGTTAAGATTATAGTTGATATTACTTTTGCATAGGCTTTAGGTCAGCTTGTCTCCAGTAACCACATATTGCCTTCTGATCTAAGCGACCGTGTATTCCCCTCCCGATTTTGTGGTTTTTGCTTTTAGAAACCCTGTTGCTTTGGGCTTTGGGGTTGAGAGTTCTTTAGGGCATGAGCCTGCTCTCTGCCACTGGCAATAAAGGACCATCAAATTTTATCAGTGTGTGGTGCTTCTCTGTTTGCACTCACTCAGGTACAGCAACACAGAGATCTTCCATCTGCTGGTTTCTTCTCCAAATGACTACAACGGCCAAGTAGGAACCATGAGCTTCTTCCAAGTATCCCACATGGGGCTTGGGCCGTCTTCCACTGATTTCCCAGGTGCATTAGCAGGGAGCTGGATTGGAAGCAGAGCAGTCAGGACCTGAACCAATGTCCATGTGGGATGCCATGTTGCAGGCGGCGGTATACCACAGTGCTGGCCCCAAAAGAGCTTTGCAATATTTGGATACTGGGACCCATGTTAACCTAGAGGTTAAGACACCTGCATCCCACATCAAAGTGCCTGAGTTCAATTTCCACCTCAAGTTTCTGATTCCAGCCTTCTACCAATGCATAGCTTGCAAGGCAGCTGTGACAGCCCAGATAATTGGGCTCCTGCCCCACCATGTGGGAGACTTGAGTTGTGTGGCAGGCTCCTGGCTCCAGCCCTGTCCCAATCCCAGCTGTCAAAGACGTTTGTAGATTCAACCAACCAATGGCAGCTGCTTCTGTGTATCTCTAGCTCTCTGCCTTTCAAATTTTTTAAATATTTGGAAATTATCAGGAACGTTTCATTGACATTCATCCATTTAGACCTATATGACAGTAGTGGTAATAATAAAATCTAATAATGATTGATCTCTTTTTTTTTTATTTTTTTTATTTTTTGACAGGCAGAGTGGACAGTGAGAGAGAGAGACAGGTCTTCCTTTGCCGTTGGTTCACCCTCCAATGGCCGCCGCGGCCTGCGCGCTGTGGCCGGCGCACCGCGCTGATCCGATGGCAGGAGCCAGGAGCCAGGTGCTTATCCTGGTCTCCCATGGGGTGCAGGGCCCAAGCACCTGGGCCATCCTCCACTGCACTCCCTGGCCACAGCAGAGAGCTGGCCTGGAAGAGGGGCGACCGGGACTAGAACCCGGTGTGCCGGCGCCACTAGGCAGAGGATTAGCCTAGTGAGCTGCGGCGCCGGCCGATTGATCTCTTAATGAACGACACTGTTGTAAGGATTTGACCTCCTTTTAAAAAACAAATCCTAGAAACGCGGGAGGGGATTATCGAGAAGACGGCTCTGTGTTTACCTATGCGATTCCATATGATATGGATTGTTAAGGTGCGTGGGTTACTTTGATGATAAGCAAAAGCTACACTATCGCCATTTCTAAAGAAATCACCTCTTTATCAAATTTTGTTGTTGGCACCACCCGGACTCCAGTTCTCGTAAATCGCCATGTTGAGCTGGAGTGCCTCCCCGGGTCTTGCCAGGGCCAACTCACTGCAACATTGCATACGCTTCGGAGACTTGAGCTTTAGCTCAGTGGAGTTCTGGTTTCCCAGCACACCAGTGAAGCGAGCTGCAGAGTTCTCTGAACTGCCCCCCACCCCGCCCCTTGCCTCCCGCCCTCGGCTCTTAAATATGTGTATTTAATGCTTCTGTGGAGATCTCAAGTTAGCAGGAATAAACAGATAATCAGAAATCATTGGGGCCAGCGCCGCAGCTCAACAGGCTAATCCTCCACCTAACGGCGCCAGCACACCAGGTTCTAGTCCCGGTCGGGGCACCAGATTCTGTCCCGGTTGCCCCTCTTCCAGGCCAGCTCTCTGCTGTGGCCAGGGAGTGCAGTGGAGGATGGCCCAAGTGCTTGGGCCCTGCACCCCATGGGAGACCAGGAGAAGTACCTGGCTCCTGCCATCGGATCAGCGCAGTGGCCATTGGAGGGTGAACCAACGGAAAAGGAAGACCTTTCTCTCTGTCTCTCTCTCTCTCTCACTGTCCACTCTGCCTGTCAAAAAATAAATAAATAAATAAAAAACATTGCATAAATACTTTTTTTTTTTTTTTGACAGGCAGAGTGGACAGTGAGAGAGAGAGACAGAGAGAAAGGTCTTCCTTTTGCCGTTGGTTCACCCTCCAATGGCTGCCGCGGCCGGCGCGCTGCGACCAGCGCACCGCGCTGATCCGATGGCAGGAGCCAGGAGCCAGGTGCTTTTCCTGGTCTCCCATGGGGTGCAGGGCCCAAGCACATGGGCCATCCTCCACAGCACTCCCTGGCCACAGCAGAGGGCTGGCCTGGAAGAGGGGCAACCGGGACAGAATCCGGCGCCCCGACCGGGACTAGAACCCGGTGTGCCGGCGCCGCTAGGCGGAGGATTAGCCTAGTGAGCTGCGGCGCCGGCCAACATTGCATAAATACTTAAATATGGCTGCTGTAAATGCTAAAAAGAGAAATAGAGAATGACTGGAGAGTATTTAAGATGACACTTACCCTTATCTGAAATAGTGAAGATTTGGGGAGGGGAAATCAGCATAGACATTCTGTGTTTTTCATCCTTTAATTAATCTATTTTTGATGTTTTATTCACTGCCCAGAATCTCATTGATAGGACTGTTCTTTAAAAAATAAAATAGACTTATTTAATTATTTTGAAAGAGTGACGGGGCGGGGGGGGAGAAAGGTCTTCCATCTGCTGGTTCACTCCCCAAATGGCCGTAATGGCCAGGGCTAGACCAGGCTGAAGCCAGGATCATCCAGTCTCCCACGTGGATTCATGCACCCAAACACTTAGGCCATCTTCCATTCCTTTTCCAGGCTGTTAGCCGGCAGCTGGATTGGAAGCGGAGCAGCTGGGGCAGGAACTGGTGCCCATATGAGATGCTGGCATTGTGGGCAGCAGCTTTACCCCCTATGCCTCGGTGCCAGCCAGATGGGGCCATTATTCCTAATTTTCTTTGATGGGCATCGCCACTGGTAGAATCATGTGTTTAGGGATGGACTGCTGACAATTTGGGTATTTTATGTCAAACGACACAAAGGCTGATGCTTACATGTGCCTTGTTTTGGTAATTTAATGTGTTTATCTAAGACACTGTTCTTTCTTGTTTCTCTTTTGAGGTAGTGTGACAAAGATGTTGATATGTTTATTGGCATCTTAAAAGTAGTAGAAGTGGACCAAATGGTTTTGTTTTTATGGCTCATTTAGCAAACCTCAGACCTTTCTTACGTTTCAGGAATTTCTATCCCCAAATGTCTTCCGATTGGTCTATCTAAGATGGGAAACCCCAATTTTCCAATACTTTTCACTTTCTGGGTATTTGATCTCAGCTTTCCCTGATTCTCGTCTTCTCACAACACTCTTTTGTCTGCTACCAGGCCCAGTCCGAGGGAGCCATCACGTTTAAGATCATTCCCAGCATCAAGGAGGAGACACCAGCCAAGGAAGGCAAGGTAATCAACTCTTTAAAAAAAAACACGTGTGGTCTGGGGTGGGCGAAGCCGCAGCTCCCCGAGTCACATGCAGCCGCTCTGGGACTGCCGGCTTGGCATCACAGCTTGTGGAAGTGTCCACAGTCGACTCTCAGAAGGCAGACCATTGCCACATCTCTCCCAGATGTTCATCAAGGCCCTCTTTGACTACGATCCCACGGAGGACAAGGCGATCCCGTGTAAGGAAGCCGGACTCGCGTTCAGAAAGGGAGACATCCTGCAGATCATGAGCCAGGACGACCCGACGTGGTGGCAGGCGAAGCATGAAGGCGACGCCAACCCCAGGGCGGGCCTCATTCCCTCTAAGCATTTCCAGGAAAGGTGAGGCACAGGTGCACGGCACTAGCCCCTCCTCAGCTGACCCCTAGTTTCCTACAGAACACCCCTGCCCCGGAGTGCGGGTACAGATCACCCTGCGAAGGCTTTATCCCTTGAGTTTAAATTTCTGTTTTGTCTGAGCGTGGATGAATGATGTCCAAAAATAATAGCACAGGACCAGGGTACCCTGGCTTTTGTATTATTGAAGCAAACAGAAAACAGCACATTGCTGTCTGCAGCGTCACTGCTGTGGGGGTTGGGGGGTGGGGGGGTTGGAGCAGTTAGAGGAGATAATTTACACAGATCTGACAGTGGAAGATTTAGGTCTGAACTGGAATAACTGGAATTGTGTTCATGTTCACCCTGACTTCCTGGGTTTTGTTTTTTTCTGCCCTTAAGACTTTCAATATTCTGGTGCTATGTTAACTTCAGCCCCATGCTCAAAATTGATCAGCGTATCCACCTTCTTTCTTCCAGGAGATTGGCCCTGAGACGAGCAGAGATATTAGTTCAGCCCTTGAAAGTCTCCAGCAGGAAATCATGTAAGTTGGTTGATAAGGAGGCAGAAGAGCCAAGTCCTGCTGTCTATTTTTTGTTTTTGTATTTTTTGTCTATTTTTTGTTTTTTTATTTTTGCATGACTCATTAAAGCAGGTGCCTAGGGAAGACCGAGGGGCCGTGTTGCCTTGCAGTAGTTCTTGGTCAGGGCTGCTCAGGAACCAAGCAAATATGGAAGTCCCACGAGGAGTATGCCTGTCAGTCCGTGGAAGGCAGATGAGCGGGTGCTTTATAATCAGCCATGATTCACTCTTTAAGGAAACCACGAGCCCCCACTGCCCTCTCTGATTTCCAGTCCTGGGTATTTTGGTGAATACTCAAGTCTTTTTCTTTCTCCCAAACTAGCAGACTTGGGCAAGATCTTCCTTGCTTATCCACAAATCATTGTAACTCTGACCTTTTGCCCATCTGTTCAGAGTCATTGCCAGAGTAGATCGAAAGAAAATGCGTAAGAAAAAGAGGCGGTGTTGGATGTCTGAGTGGCACCGCCTGGACGTGGGTGCATTTCCGTCCAGTTTACCAACGTAGGCCTCTTGCGGCTTTGTGAGTTTCCACGTCCCCACTCTCTCAAGTGCCCGTCCTGTAAACTCACCTCCCTTAAATGTTTCATGCTTCTAGGTCTTTAAGAGTTTTTTTTTTTTTTTTAAAGCTCTTTGTTCTAAGCGTGGAAATTATACATTAAAAAGTGAAATAAGCCAATAAACGGCCCTGGGATTTTACACCAACATCTGTTTTTAGTATCGTTGTATTTTTTTTTCTTCACATCTCCTGTTCTTTCTGTCAGCGTGTAGACGCGTAGAGCCCAGGAATCACATTAGAAAGAGAGCCAAACTGCAGCCGAGAATAAATCTCCCAGCAAGCGAGTACTTAAACCACGGCGCTGATGCAAAAGCCTGCTGGTTCTTGCTGCGTTAAGTCTGAGCAGACGGGAAAAACACTTGCCGCGAGCCAGGGGGCTTTGGAGTCGTGAGGAGGCTCAGCATCGAGCCTCACGTGGTTTACGAGTGGGGTGGCTCGCCACCGGCAGCCCCTGCAGCTGGAGGGAGCCTTGCGTTGTCCACCTGCCTTCCGCTTGGAGCCAGCATTGTACTGGGGGCCCACCGCGTTCCTTCCTAGTGTGCTTGGTACACATGGCCTCCAACTGGGGGAACTTGACGACTGGAGTGAAAGTGAGAAGGTCCTTGGACCTGAGACTCAGGACCCTAAGCCACTTCGGAGTGTATAATGTGGTATAAGTGTGATTTTCCGTCTGCTTCAAGTTTTGGATCAATGTGCATGTGTGTCCCTTGAAAGAAGTCAAGTGGATTGGCTTTTCGGTAGAGGCGTATGAATGTGGGAAGGGGTTTGTGTGTAGATATGAACTGTGATGGACGCCTTGGGTCTGCGATTTGCCTCATATCCTTGTCGTGTCAATATCTTAATATGTGCACCTGCGGGGTGTGTGGTCCAGGAGTGATCTTTACTGAAATGCCCCCTGCCTCTTCAGGACCATTCAGAAGTCATTCCTGGCCACCGTCCTCTTTCCTTCCTTCCTCTTCTGTGTCCCTGTCTTTTGTTGCAAAGCTGTATTTAAAGTCACCAAAAGATGCAGTGTTCGTTCTCCTACATATATGATGTTATTTATTTTCAACTAAATCTGGTCAAGATTATCCAAGTGAATCACGTGTGCATAGTAAATTTGGACTTGTTCAGAGAGACAGCAGAGTTGCATAAAAATTATAGAAAACTGGTGTTCTGTAACCCCCAAAGAGCTGGAATTTCAGTTGGAATTTCTTTGACTGTTATCTCCTAAACTTAAGAGTTATGCAAAAGTCATTGGGATTAGGTCTGAACATACGAATGGCATTTTAAAGCACTTTAACCTCTGTGTTTGACAGTGGTTCTTTTTACATATTTATATAAAATATAATATGTATATATTTTATATATTTAAAAAACTAAACCCTTATATATAAACTAAATCTCATAAAGGTCACCTGGATTTCAACATTTGGCACTTAGGATCTTGGAATAGGAAGTTCATGTTATAATGTGCTTTGCTAAATTACAGATTTACGCTCTAAAGAAAAACAGGAAGTTGGTATAAAATCATTTATTTTTGTGACCTTGAATGCTAATTCATAGGCTAGGTTTTAAGAAGTTTTAGACTTAACATAAAATTTCTTAAAAAATAATGCTGTCGTGTTGGTATTTATAATTTTATGGGAAAAATATAGTCAAAAGTTTTACAAGTTTCCACCTAGGAAGATATTGTAAGGGTGGGATTTGGAAGGAAGGGTGAATTTAGTTATATAATCATGTGTCAGATGAAACGATTAATTTGTTCACTAAGTGACTGCTTGCATTACCATGAGTTGACTATTTGCTTCATGATGTGTTATTGTAAGTGGAGTTTGCATAGAGAAAAATTTCATGGAAGCTGATTCTGCAACTAGAGGGGTACAGTTATATCAGCATAGAAGTCAAAGAAGAATGGCCAGTCCCAGTCTTGTCATCTTGTGGTCTGGGTTTGTGCTGCAGCTCTGGGCCCTGGCCCTTGGGAGCCATGATGTGCAGCAGCCTCTAGGCTTTAAAATCTGCACTGTTACAGAACTCCAAGAACAGATGCAACTAACTGCTGGCTTCCTTCCTGCCCTTGAGAATCTTAGTACATCTCATATGTGCCCCAAAAACAAGCTTTGCAAACCGAATAGTGCCCTTAAAAAGTCAAACTTTCCTAAACACACAAATACCAACTTTTATAAAATAAAATATTCTTCACTCTTAGAAGCCTAACCTAGGATCTCATTCCTCTTCCTTGGGTATATATTATGTTTTGGAGCAGTTGGTTATCCAACAAAGAACCTTGCAGGAGGAGGACTTTGAACTTCTCTTTCTCTCCCTCATTCCTCTGATGATGGGTTTCCCCCATGAGGAGCTGGCATGAGGGCTGCAGACAGGGCTGCAGGGCTGCCTCTCTTGTGGGTTTTCTTCGCTGTGACCACCTTTAGGATAATTCCATAAAAGACACAGTTTATGGGCTCTGAAAATGAGTAAGGCCAGATCTCACATCTCAACCAGCATGGGAGAGTCGTTTCTCTTGGTAATTTGCATTTCTCCTGTCGATAAAATTTAAAGAAGTTTTCCTTTTTTGCCATTTAGAAGCATATATAGAAGCAATTTCATATTTGTCTTTAAGAAAGAAATATGTATTTCTTTATTTGAAATCTGAATGTACAGGTTAAGAATTATCTGTCTAGTGACATAAACATTAACTTTTTTAGGCTATCATTTATATTTAAATGCGTTATCTGTAACTTCAGAATGGATGGAGAGGGCCGGTGCCGTGGCTCACTAGGCTAATCCTCTTCCTTTGGCACCGGCACCCTGGGTTCTAGTCCCGGTCAGCGTACCGGATTCTGTCCCGGTTGCTCCTCTTCCAGTCCAGCTCTCTGCTGTGGCCCGGGAGTGCAGTGGAGGATGGCCCAAGTGCTTGGGGCTTGGGCCCTGCACCCCATGGAAGACCAGGAGGAAGCACCTGGCTCCTGGCTTTAGATTGGTGCAGTGCGCCCGCCGTAGCAGCCACTTGGGGGATGAACCAACGGAAAAAGGAAGACCTTTCTCTCTGTCTCTCTTACTGTCTAACTCTGCCTGTCAAAAAAAAAAAAAAAAAGGAATAGAAAGAAGGCTCTTCTTGATCATGGAGCATATCTTACTTAGAACATTCAAGTATGATTTTACTGTCCGTGCTTTGTTTCTTTTTTTGGGGATCTCAAAAATATTTAGAAATTAGAAATTGGAAAATTTCTAACACGGCAGACTGGATGGATGTCATTTAAAATTTTTCTTTTGCAAAGTATCTCTCGTAAAATTCTTTTCATAAAAGAGAAGCAAAAAATGCACAGTATTTTGAAAAAAAAATTTACTGTAGAATTTGCCTTAACCAGTCGTGATTATCATCACAGTATTTCACCAGAGCCAAAAGGTATCCTTTCTGATCACCTGATTGGTTCCAAGACAAAGTACATTGTAGGTTGAAGATCACAGTCTGCCAATCAAACAGCTCAAACACTGAGCCACAGAATAAATTTGCTGTGCCCGGTCCCGGTATTTTAGAGGGGGGGAAGCATTTAGGAATGCTGACGTCACACTGTGCTACAGGTTGTTGCCATAAAGCTTTGAAGTGGAGCACCCTCCTTGCTGTGACATCCCAGGTACTGGAAAGCTTTCACACGACACGTTAATGCCGAAACAAATGGATTGCATATGTGGTGACGGCAGGTTTGCCTGTTGAAAACCTGGTCAACCGCCTTAATGTTGGTGGCGCTTTGTGTAAACAGAAACACACGAGGTCTTACAGAGCACCTGCAGTACTCACCGACACTGTTGGAGAGAAGCCAGAGTGCAGCGTTGGTGTGGAAGGAGGCGCAGAAGAACTCGGCTGTTGGTTTCACTTCCCTGTCGCCTATACCTGGAGCTGGTTGTGCTGAAGACCTGGCGGACCCTTAGCACTCGCCATGAAATGGTTTCTCTCTGCTTGTCCGGAGGGTTGCTCCTGACATAGCCAGCCCCCGGGGGAGGGGCACCGAGACAGCCAGACTCGGAGACCCAAAGCCACGCAGCAAAGAGCGAGTTGATTGACGGTTGGGACTTTGGTCTGTGGGATGGATTGTTGCAGACTTTTAGGGGAGCTGTCGGTGGGGGATGCAGCGAGCCCGCTCAGACCCTGTGAGTGATGGTCCCCCATGGAAGACACGGCGGGTTCTCCAGTGGGTGGGCGTCCGCTGCACCCAGCTCAGAGTGCTGCCCTGCTGTGCACAGGTCGGCATGGCTGTTCACAGCATGTTTCCAGTCCGTTCTCTGGAGACGGCAGGCTGATGTCTGTGTGCTCCTGTTGGCCTCGCCCTTGGGACTTTTGGCAGTTTTCCTCTCCTGCTCATCCGCACTTGAAGATAGTGGAAGGTGGATGCCCGGTGGTGCTGGGGGAGGAGCTGGTCCCTCCCAGGTGGTGCTGGGGGGAACGCAGTTGGGGTATTGAGGCTGCAGGGAGAGGCAGAGGGTGAGGGCACCGGGAAGGAGTCAGGAAGAAACCTCTCCCGAGACTTTGTATGTGCTGGCCCAAGGCTTGTGTGGTCAAAAAGTGATTGTGGTATGATAGTGTGCATTGCGGTCGGACACGAGGGCTTCGGAGCAGCTGGAGTTACGTGGATCCAGACCCCTGGTTTGCCACTTAATGAGTGCTCTCCCATCTATAAAACGGAATAACAGTACTGAACTCAGTTGGCAAATTAAATGAGTTTTTGCATTTTCAGAACCGTGCCTTGCCTATGGTAGCAGCTGTGTAATTATCACAACCCTTTTCTGAGATCCATCTTTTAGAATCTTTCCTCTTTTTTTTTTTTTTTTTTTTTAACTTGCCTGTCTAAGGAAATCTGTCAGCTTGCTTTTCCCACCCAGGGTCCATTAAGCCTAATACTTGCTATTGGATACATGCATGCGTTTTTATTGTGGAAAAAAACTCCATATGCTTCCTAGCTAAAAATTGTATGGAGAAATCTTCTCTCCAGAATTTAGCCACTGTATTCATGACCTTTTATTAGAACTTGAAATATACAATGTGTAATATAAATTAAGCAGTGTTTATTTTTTATTGTGAGTTGGTGCTGGAGTGTTAGGTTTTGTTTTGTTTTGTTTTGTTCTCACAACTTGGCTATCATCATCTGATTTCCACAGCACCGAGTCCTTACCCGGGGGCGCAGTATTTGGTCGGTCTGTTCTCGCCAGAAGACTTGCACCGGGTATAGCTGTCTGCTTCGTCACCGGGCACGGGCTATTCAGTGTTAGCTCTGCTGGCGTTGTTACTGGGGTGCCAGGCCTGGCTGGCCCAGAATCACACGGTTGCTTCTTTGTTTCACAGTCATTTGTTGTAGGTGCTGATGACACGGACAGGTATTAAGAGATGGCCGTAAATGCAATGACAGTGTGGTTGTCCCAGACTGTGAGCCTGGGTGAAAATGGTCTGCTCGAATAGAACCATAGAACCGGCTCAGTTTGAGGCCCCCTGAGTGTTTGAAAAGTGGACACAAATGGGATCCACTCTCCCTGCACAGCCTTTGGCTGTGGTTTCCAGCTCAGAGTGAGACGAGCGGGGGGACTGCCCTGTGTCTCCTGTCCACTCTGCAGGCCTCGTATTGCGATAAGCTCCCCCTGGGCTCAAGGTCAGGTTTTTCTTTAGGCCAGGATTTTACCCATCCTTCCTGAAGGTGAGAATCCTAAGTCAAACTTAAATTGTAGATTTTGCTGTCTTCTTTGCTATCTTCTTAGCAATTGCAGACACACGTAGGATTACTTTTTTCACGTAGCTTTCGTCATCCTGTGAGCAGAATGAAAAGAACGGGTTCTGCCCGACCTCACTGGCTACGTGTAATAAATTGATCATTGTTAGGCTGTTGTCCCATTTAAGGAAAGGTAGACACGTTTGAAGGATGAAATGTATTGCATCTAAAAAAAATCCATTTCACCATTTTTCTAAAATGTCTTCAAAGTCTTGAACAGATTAACTTACAAATGGACTTATCCTATGAAAATAAATATCGTTCCCTCTTTGAAGGTATTATTTTAAAAAGTGCTGAAGCTTTTTCCTTTTTCTTCTGGTCAGTTATTCCCACTTGGTTGTTTAATTTCCTTGAATATTTTGCGTTCTTTTGAAAGTATTTACGTGTTTCGTAGAGCAAGGGTGCAGTGCAGTCTGAAGTGTGGTTCACAAATTCTGTTTATTTATTGCCTAATAATTTTGAAATTCATTTGTTTTTTTTTTTTTTCCCTCCCCTTTGGCTTTTCTAAGATGAGGAAACTGTTGAGTGTGGTAGGTAGATTTTGTTTCTTTCTTCTTGTTTCACCTTCCTCCTTTAATTGTATTTTCTGCACATTTAATCATTTCCTTTCTTGTTCCCTTTGTGCTTCTCAGAGGAAATTAAAGGTACATGTATAAAAACTGCCCGACATAGCCTGGTCATTTTATTTCGTGCACCTATGTGTGGGATCAGATTGAAGCTAGCAAGCCAGTTGTAAAAGAACTCCATTGCACATCCCACCTCCACCCTGGCATTTCAGTACCAGAGTGTGTGGTTGGATTCTGTCTCACAAAGAAACCTGCATTTTCCTTTTTTTTTTTTTTTTCTCTCCATGTAGCAGAAACACAGAATGTGATCTGAAATAGAACAGGGTGTTTTAGTGTTTTGATCTGCCAACACTCCCAAATGAAGGTGAGTGAGGAGAGCAGTGGTGAGGCCAGTAGCATCTCCTGCACCGTCTGGTTTCTGCTCAGTCGTGTTCTTAGCCCAGACGAATAGAAACGAAGACCAAAAACCAGCACAGCACCACTTCGTTCAGTTTGCAAGCTCTGAATAGCCCAGGAGTCGTTTCATTCTGAGAAACCGTATCATTCACGTTGAGAAATGCTTTTCCCTGCTCTACTTGGGAGCACAGTCCAGACCTTACCTTACCCGTGACCCACTCCCCAGCACAGGCATCCCCCGTCCCTCCTGTCCACAAGAGGGGAGCGTTTGGATCTTAAGCCTTGTGTCTGTCCCCTTGGGCGGGAGTAGTGGAGCAACGTTTCAATGTTATCAGAGAGCTTCACTTAGAGCAGTCAGGTTATTTTGGGCATCTAGTGTTGTCCTTGTCTTAGTCGGGCAAGGAGAACCGTTTCAGAAAAGAATCTCTTGTAGTTTCCTGGGAGGCGCCTCCAGGAACCTCCGGATACACTGAAACTCAAGTCAAAGCAGCCTTGCTTGATTGACTTCGGACTCAGATGTGAAACAGAAAGTTTTACGTCTGGGAGTGACAGCGTGGATGGCTGTGCTCTGCTGTGCGTGCTGGGATTTGCTGTGCGTGCTGTGTGTTTAGCACCTGTGGCCGGGCTCCTAACTGTATTGTGCTTTATTTCTCGGCTTCTGTTCTGTGCGCTTTGCACCCACTCCGGAAGATGCCACGTTCCCTGGGCACGGCAGCGGAACCTACCTAGGTGAGCACTCGGCCTTGGGGGAGGATTTCTTGCTCTCTTCAAAGGCATGGTGTTATTTTGTTGTAAACGAGCACCTTTTAGAAGCATGCTCTGGCCGGTGCCGCAGCTCAATAGGCTAATCCTCCGCCTTGCGGCGCCGGCACACAGGGTTCTAGTCCCAGTCGGGGCACCGGCTTCTGTCCCTGTTGCCCCTCTTCCAAGCCAGCTCTCTGCTGTGGCCTGGGAAGGCAGTGGAGGATGGCCCAAGTGCTTGGGCCCTGCACCCCGTGGGAGACCAGGAGAAGCACCTGGCTCCTGCCTTCGGATCAGCGCGGTGCGCCAGCTGCAGCGCGCCAGCCGTGGCGGCCATTGGAGGGTGAACCAACGGCAAAAGGAAGACCTTTCTCTCTGTCTCTCTCTCACTATCCACTCTGCCTGTCCAAAAAAAAAAAAAAAAGAAGCATGCTCTGAGAGCCTGCAGGGGAAGCAACTGTTGCCTTCAGGATCATTTTAGAAACTCCCTGGATTCTACTTCTTTGTTAGCTGTTGTAAATAATTTTGGATAGAGTAAGGAAAAACATCCCATTGGTGCTAAGTAACAACTCGATCAACAGCATATGGCCTTTTCCAAGTCATCTGGTGCATTGTGATATTCAAAGCTTTTAAATAACTTCATCTTTGATAACTTTTTGGTTCTATTTTCTTTTTCTTTTTTTTAAATTTTATATATTTGAAAGTTAGAGTTACAGAGAGAAAGGGAGACAGAGAGACATTTTGGACCATCTTCCATGGCTTTCCCAGGCACATTAACAGGGAGCTGGATTAGAAGTGGAGCAGCTGGGACTAGAACCGGCACCCATATCAGATGCCAGCACTGCAGGCTGGGGCTTTAACCTACTGTGCCACTCTTCATTAAGATTCATTTTTGGCCGGCGCCGCAGCTCACTAGGCTAATCCTCCGCCTAGCGGCGCCGGCACACCGGGTTCTAGTCCCGGTTGGGGCGCCGGATTCTGTCCCGGTTGCCCCTCTTCCAGGCCAGCCCTCTGCTGTGGCCAGGGAGTGCAGTGGAGGATGGCCCAGGTGCTTGGGCCCTGCACCCCATGGGAGACCAGGAAAAGCACCTGGCTCCTGGCTCCTGCCATCGGATCAGCGCGGTGCGCCGGCCACAGCGCGGCGGCCATTGGAGGGTGAACCAACGGCAAAAGGAAGACCTTTCTCTCTGTCTCTCTCTCTCACTGTCCACTCTGCCTGTCAAAAAAAAAAAAAAAAAAGATTCATTTTTAATTACCTTATATATACAGAAGACCAACTCTATACTAAGTAAAGATTTCAACAACTTGTACTCACACAGACACACAAAGTATAAAGTACTGTTTGAAGATTTGAAGACAAGTTTTACCGTTAATTCTTATAGTACAACTCATTAAGGACAGAGATCCGGCTGGCACCGCGGCTCAATAGGCTAATCCTCCGCCTGCGGCACCGGCATACCGGGTTCTAGTCCCGGTCAGGGCGCCGGATTCTGTCCCGGTTGCCCCTCTTCCAGGCCAGCTCTCTGCTGTGGCCCAGGAGTGCAGTGGAGGATGGCCCAAGTGCTTGGGCCCTGCACCCCATGGGAGACCAGGAGAAGCTCCTGGCTCCTGGCTTCGGATCAGCACAATGCGCTGGCCACAGCACGCTGACCATTGGAGGATGAACCAACGGCAAGAGGAAGACCTTTCTCTCTGTCTCTCTCTCTCACTGTCCACTCTGCCTGTCAAAAAAAAAATTAAAAAAAAAAAAAAAAGAGAGAGATCCTAGATGGGGAGTAAGTGCACAGTGACTCCTATTGTTTTAACAATTGACACTCTTTTGTATGACATCAGTGATCACCCGAGGCTCCTGTCATGAGCTGCCAAGGCTATGGAAGCTTTTTGAGTCTACAAACTTTGATATTATTTAGACAGGGCCATAAGCAAAATGGAAGTTCTCTCCTCCCTTCAGAGAAAGGTACCTCCTTCTTTGATGGCCCCTTCTTTCTACTGGGATCTCACTCACAGAGATCCTTCAAATAGATCATTTTTTACCACAGTGTCTCAGCTTTCCATGCCTGAAATGCTCTCCTGGGCTTTTCAGCCAAATCCAAATGCTTCAAGGGCTGATTCTGAGGTCAGAGTGCTGTTTAGGGCATTTGTCATTCTGTGAGTCTGCTGTGTGGCCTGCTTCCCACGTTGGATCATTCCCCTCCCCCCTCCTTTTTTTTTGATAGGCAGAGTGAGACAGTGAGAGAGAGAGAGAGAGAGAGAAAGGTCTTCCTTCCGTTGTTTTACCCCCCAAATGGCTGCTACAGCCGGCACGCTGCGCAGATCCAAAGCCAGGAGCCAGGTGCTTCCTCCTGGTCTCCCATGAGGGTGCAGGGCCGAAGGACCTGGACCATCCTCCACTGCACTCCCAGGCCACAGCAGAGAGCTGGACTGGAAGAGGAGCAACCGGGACAGAATCTGGTGCCCCGACTGGGACTAGAACCCAGTGTGCCAGCGCCGCAGGCGGAGGATTAACCTAGTGAGCTGCAGCGCCGGCCTGTTTTCCCCTTTTTAATTCTATCTGTTGTTGTTACCAGACATTTGGTCTTATTTATGTGATTCCCATTGACACTTAATCCGATGTCTATGGTCAGTTACACACTTTAATATGATCACTTTAAAATATAAGATGACGTTAGTACCACCCAGCTTAATAAGATTTGGAGTCCCATGACAAGTTTTTAGCTTTACCCTTAGGGGTAAGTCCGTGGAACTGTGTACCTAACTGTACAGCTCCTCTGTCTCTTATTCCCGCTTGTATTTTTTACTGGGATCTATTTTCAATTGGATTTAAACACCTAATAATAATTCTGTATTACATAAGAAGTTCAACCAATGGTATTAAGTACAAAAAGAAAATTTACTCATTTCAGAAGGGTATAGTACACCAAATATTCCACCTCCCCTTAGTGCCTGGAAGCTGAATGGCTTAAAACAGCAACCTGTTTGTCTTCAGAACTCTGTGGTCATTTTGCAGATCTGCTGATCTGGGCCAGCGTGGTGGAGCTTTGCAGCCTGTGATTGGGCTCAGCTGTTGATGTCCTGTGGGCAAGAGCAAGCCTCACCACCATGCTGGCATCCGTGTGGGAGGACATGATGAGATGCATGGCCATCAGTGCACACATCTGTTCCTCTAAGAGGTCAGGAACCACTGACCCTAAGGCCTTTGACCATTCGTTGGCTGATGATGGGATTCACACCGAGTGGATGGATAGCTGTCACACAAAGCTGATGAGTGCCATAGAAAATGCTGTGACCAGAGAGGGGCTGATACCCCAGCCGGAGTAGGCAGGCACTCAGCCCCACAAGACTGGACACCAGTGCTGGACCGTCACTCAGGTGGACATCTAGCTAGCAGCTGGGGAGAGAGGTGGAAGTGACAGTGTGGGAAGGGGTGAGAGGTGCAGAGCGCCAGACGTGGTTAACCTTGGGGGATGTGTAGGTGATGGGACTAGAAATTCAGTTTGGCTGCTTGGTAAGGTGAGACCTTCAATGGCAAGCCAAGGAATGGACTCCTCTCATAGTTTTCTGCCTGATTTTTGCACCCAGTGTTATTCTTTGTGTAAGATTTCATCCAAAATAATGGGTTCTAAATCTTTATCTGTCTCCTAGCATTTAGGACTTTCTGAAAGTGAACATTTAGTCAGTTGATAGACTTTAAGTCCAGAAGCAAAGGGATGACCAGTTCTTTGGGTTTCTTTAGAGCAACTTGGAGCCACGGCTTGCATCAGAGAAATAATTCACCGGGGAGCCAAATTTGCAAAGTGTCAAGGAGTAGGAGAGGTGACAAAGGGTAACAGAGGTGGCAGAAGGAGTGGCGGAGGTGAGAGTGGAGGGGAGGTAGCAGTTGAATTCAGGGCAGTTCTCATGGAGGGTGGGGGGCGGCAGGAATGTCTACTGTCATCTGCGGGGTGACGGGGCTGACAAGAGGACCGGGTGCCTGAGAGAGGAGGTGATTGCTAGAGCCCTGGGGAGAGCAGGTGGGTGGGATGAGGGCCCCAGGAGCATGTCGGGCAAAAGCCTGTGGCATCAGCAGGTGAACTTCACCACGCAGACTTCCCAGCTCTTTGAAGTGGTTGCCTGGACGCCACTGTGCATCACCCAGTGAGTGACAGATGAGAACAGGGGACCAGCTCTTGGGAATATCATGAACCCCACCAATCCTGTCGACCTGGTAGCTGACAGACCATGTGCAGGACTGTGTTTAGAGGATCTCTTTTGTTTATTTCCATATCAACTTGAGAGATTGCCTATGAAGATTTCTGGCTCCTTTGGCACAAAGGAAGATTTGAGTCAGTGAGGCCTGCAATTCCTGATGAAGCTAAGTAGCTGCGGCTGAGCTACCCCCAGGCCCGTGAATGGGGCACGAACTCTGCAGCCCACCCCCACCACCACCCCACCCCCGTCCCCCAGCCCTTGTCATCTTGACCTTGTTGAGGCAGGATCACCCATTAGCATGTACTCGCATCTCTACACGCAACCTTGAGGAAGTTCGCCCAGGCACTCAAGAGAAAAATGCGACAACAAAGCTGCTCAAGGGTTGAATGTTGTACGGAATGCATGAGGGTGCTTCCAGAAAGTGGAAGTAATAGGTAAGTTTAGGGGCCAGCATGGTGACACAGTGGGTTAAACCACCACTTGCAACACTAGCGGAGTGCCAGTTTGAGTCCTGGATGCTCCACTCTTCTTCCTGCTAACGCACCTGGGAAGGCAACAGAACGTGGACCAAGTACTTGGGTCCCTGCACCCACGTGGGAAGCCTGGATGGAGCTCCGGGCTCCTGGCTTCCACCTGGTCCAGCCCTGGCCATTGTAGGCATTTGGGGAGTGAACCAATAGATGGAGGATTTCTCTCTCTTACTCTCTTTCTGTAACTCTGCCTTTCAAATATTTTTTTAAAATTCTGATGCAAAAAGAAAATATAGAAAGCCGTGCATAGTTTCATAGTGGACATTTTCC